AGCCTGGGTGATAAAGTGAGAACTCTGTTTCTAAAATAGCAACAAAAAAAGCACGTGAAAAGATACTGTAGTAATATTTTTAAAAACACAAAAAGGAGAAACAGGAAAATGAAGCATTTTTAAAGATGGATAGTGCATATAGGTATATGTTATAAAAGTAATTGATACTTATAATACACTTATTTAAATTTTAGTATTTCATGAAATTTCAGAACACCAAAGATGCAAAAGACCATTTAAAAACTGCCCAGAAGCCGGGTGTGGTGGCTCATGTCTGCAATCTAAGTACTTTGGGAGACGGAGGCAAGAGGATTTCCTGAGCCCAAAGGTTTAAGACCAGCTTGGGCAACTTGGTGAGACATCATCTCTACAGTAAGTCAAAAAAAATTTGCTGGATGTGGTGTTGCGTGCCTGTGGTTCCAGTTATCTGGAAAGCTAAGGCAGAAGGCTAGCCTGAGTCCCGCAGGTCAAGGCTGCCGTGGCTGTGAATGTGCCACTACACTCCAGCTTGGACAGCAGAGTGAGACTCTGACTCAAAACAAACCACAAAACAAAAACAAACAGACAAAAAACCTACCCAGAGCCTAAAACAAATCATCTGAAAAGTAATGAGAAATAGACTTTACATAAACATTATGAATGCTAGATAGAGAAATCTCTTCAAAGATAGAAGGAAAAAAATGAACATAGAATTTTCTACTTAACCAAAAAGTCAATAGAAGATTGTCAAAGTAAAATAAAGCCTTTTCAGATGTGTAAGAAAGTCAGAAAATTATCAACACTTCTTTTTTTAAAAATCACTTAAAGATTATTGAGGAAAATGAAAAAGAGAAGTTTAAGAGAAAGAAGAAATGAAATCCAAGAAAAAAAAACCCCTCAATTAGAAGTAAAAGCAAAAGAAAGTATAGAAAGTTAGCTGTAGAGAAGTCTAAGGGAGTCATACCAGAGTTACAAGATCAGAGTTCTAAGAAGAGTATTTAAGAAAATGGATCTCTTTACCCACATTTTGTGAATAAGTAGCTGAATGATCTCAGCATTTAGATTAAATTACAAATTTTTCTCAAGAGAACAATAATTCAAATAAATACAAAGTATACTAAAGCCTACACAAAAAAGTCATGTTTCCATTATGAAGCAAATTTAAGTGTGGTCTGGCAAGTAAGAAGATATAATCACCTGACCACAAGGCGTGCAGCATTCTCCTCAAGGTGCACAGGGTGAACACTATAACTTTTGTTGTTGCTGTTGATGTTAAATCGAACCTCACATTTGCTTCTTAAGTTATTTGCTTATACATTTTGGAATCAGCCTAGACAAGTGAGATATAAATATAGCTATGGAATACAAAGTAAATGTTATAAGTCTTGAAAATGTAAAAGTAATGCTAGGTTTGGTAACATTTGTAAGGTGCAAGGCAAAGAGGACAAAATGGAAGATTGCATGACAAAATTTATACATTTAAGAGCATTTCTGGCCATTGCCTTGCTAGACTCTGGTGTGGCCATGTGCTCTTTGAGCTATGGTTTTTGCCATGCTTCCTGGCTTTGGCCCCCTCCCCCACCTTGGGGAGGTGATTTTTTTCTCTCTCTCCTCTTTCTCTCTTTAATATATTTTTAAATAAGCTTTTTTTCTTTACCTCAAAGAAAGAAGAGCATTTCTAAAACTGAAGATGAAGAAATATAGGTCATAGTGTAGTCATGAAAATTACTCAAGATACCAATATGGGATTTACTATTATAACACTGGGGTAGAGACGACTGTTCACCAAATTTCATGCTCTTGCTTCGACAGAGTTATGTTTAGGAAGCAGCTGTCCAGCCTAGGACTATATTTCTTTGGTTCCTAAGTGTGGCTATATCACTAGTACTTGCCAATGGAATGTGATAAAAAGTGATGTGTGTGCTACTTCCAGGACAGGATTTTCAGAGGTAGATGTGGCCTTGTCACTCCCTTTCCTTCTACTAGCTATATGCAGAGGACAGCGATGATCTCCAGAATAATAAAGCCAAAAGATAGAAGGAGACCCCACAGTGGAGGAAAATTGCCTCACTTTTGAATGTTATAAAGGCAAAAAAATAACTTCTAATTTACTATTCCAGTGAATAAAATAACTTTTTAAGAATTATGAGCCTAAGCATTTCATAATTTCTAATGGAAAGTCAGTAGGTATTATAATAACTACCTCATAACTCTACAAAATATATTATGTTCTAAGCACATGAAGAATCAAATAAAAGCAATCATGTTAGAAAAATACATATTTCAAAATTCTAAACAACACAGTAATGCTCCATATAATAAATCACATTTTCCAGTCTTATACATGTGTGCAAATCATATATATTATATATAATTACAAAAAGTCATTTAAATTCAGATACTTTTATAATATCGCTCTATTTCCAAAACCACTTTGTGTATAAATAGAGGATGTATTTAATTCCTATTTATTCATTTTTTTAAATGGAATCTTAAGGGGAGGCTTATTACTTGTCTAAAATCATGTTTTAATTAATAAAGTAGAAACAAGATTGGAACAATGATTTTCTGACCCCTAATTCAGCATTTTTCATAAATTTGTGCTTCAGTAGTAGTAGTAGTTATTATTTTAGTATTTTTTTTTGCCTAAAAGATAAATGTCATTACAATTTCATAATTGAAGCCATGATAGTGGATGAGACTGCTCAGGGTGAATGAATCAAATGAGATAAAAAGCCTAAAATATGATCTTCAGGAAGACCAATATCTAAGGAAAGGCAGATAAATCTGCAAATTGTGAATAAATGACTGATGAAGTAAAAGAAAAAAAAAGGAGAGTAAGTGAAATGTCACAGAAGCCAAATGATGAGAATGTTTCATTTTAAAAATTAAGCTGTATATAGGATTCCATTATATTAAAAGAAAAATGTCCATTTGATTTAGGAACAAAGATTTCATCGGTGTTTTGGGCAAGAGAAATTTCAGTGGGGTAGCAGAAACAGAGGTAAACTGCCCTGAATTGAAGAGTGACTTGAAGGGGAAGTGGTTTAAGGAGTTATTGTTGATAAGATTTTTCTCTGTGAAGAAAGGAAAATGATGAGGCTGTAGCTGGAGGAGAATGTAGGATCATGGAAAGATTTGGTTTTGCGTTTTATTTTAAAATGGTAAATACTTAAACATGTTTAAAAGTGGATGAGAACAAGCCAGCAAAGAGAAAGAAATTGTAGATACGGGAGAAAAGGGTGACAATGATAACTGAGGTCTCTAAGTAAGGGGAATCCATATTATAATTGGAGGGGTGCACCTTATAGAGAAGAGTAATACAATTTTCACCAATGGGATGAGGTGGGAGGGAAAATGGAGGGTTTAGATGCAAGTGAGTGTGTAGGATTGGTGGGAAAGAGAGTTTGCATCAGATGTCTTTCATTAATTTTGGGAAATAACAGAGGAGGGATAAAGGGCCTGACGATTTGAATCAACGGGAGACCACAGAAAATGAAAACAATAACTTGGCCAGGCTGTAGTCTCAACACTTTGGGAGGCAGAGACGAGTGACTTGCCAGGGCCTGAGGGTTCAAGACCAGCCTGGGCACCTTGGCAAGACCGCGTCTCTACAATAAATAAAAAATTAGCTGGGCGTGGTAGCATGCGCCTCTAGTTCTGTCTACTTGGAAGGCTGAAGTGAAAGGATCCCTGGAGCCCAGCAGATCGACGCTGGGGTGGCCGTGAGTGTGTCACTGCACTCCAGCCTGGACGACGGAGTGAGACTCCAACTCAAAAAAAAGAAAAGAAAGAAAACAATAACTTACTTGGGAAACCTGAAAGAAGTCCCAGGCAGCATCAAAAATCCAACTAGAGGTGGGAACCATAAATTTGTAGCGTCATTAAGCTACATAGTTTGGAGGTCTGCTCCAGCAGCAATAAGCAAATAAGTAGTTGGTATAAGATCAAAACATTTAAAATAAATGAAAGCACACATGAAAACTGACTGCCTATTGACATGTGCAAACGCATATGAAATTCAATGTAATTGGAAGGTTTTCAAAAATATCTCCCAATAGTTTCTGATACTGAAAGCTGGGTAAGCTACCTAAGAAGCAGGTTGACTCATGTCAGGCGTGCCCCAAGGTATTAGAATTTCATTTATATAGCCGTTCTAAGAAACCGAACTGGAACTGAAAATCTGTAGTTACTAGACTGGTTCTACAACCCATGACACCTATGAAAGAAAATTGGTCTTTCTTCATCATGAGGAATAAATTTTCCAAGTGTGGTATTAAAATCCTGACAAAGCACTATGCTTTGCAAGTAGGGACGTGGCTAAGGGCATGGGCCACACAGAATAAATGATTCCACTCCTTAATGCTTTAGATCTGTCAGATTTACATATGATAGAGATTTTTAAAATTTAACCGAAAACAAACAAAAAAGTTGTTTTCAAATGGTAATTCACACCATATTAGCATGTTCAGTGTTTAACACAGTTGCTCAGTCCCTCCTTGCACCTCGTTGGCTTCTAAGATAACCACAGGTAGATTTTCCCCTTCCTGATTACTTTTTTTTCTTAGTTTGACTCTGTTTATCTTCCTGTCCTCTACATTCTGGAATTTTTCTCCACATTTACTACCTAGGTAAACTCATTTCATTTCATAGCTATAAATACCATCTATTTGTTTCTTCCTCAGTTATGCTTTTAGCCCAAACTTCTCTTTTGAGCTCAGACAGGGTTATCCAATTATCTACTTGACATCTCCATGTATATGTCCTGATTCTTCTCTCTAGGAAGAATGCCAGAACAGAAAAGTTAGTAAGAGTAGAATAGGACTCCTATATTATTAACAGGCCAAATACTGTTGTTCTTCAATAAATAATGAGGTGCTGGATGTGGAATAAAAGTTATTGTGAATGGGGAAAAAAAGTGTTTCCAAAATGCTTCAATCAGAGGTATTTCCAAGACCTCCAAACCAGTTCTGGCCATATCATGAAGTATGATGTCCCAGATAAATCAGAACACAACTTACCTGAATCCAATGAGATGCAGATGACTCTAAAATAATCTTGTGGCTCTGAAGTCAAGGAGTCTTGCTTCATATATCTATTCTTAGACTAATATAGAACTCTAGCCATGATTCACTGGATTAATTCAGGAAAATTATAGATAAGGAGAATAGCTCCAGAGGTCTGCCAAAAGAGAAAAAGCCGATGCTTAAGACTGCAAGATAGTAAATTGTTTCTGGTTCAAAATGTATATCATTTCAAGTATTGTTCCACAGAGTACCTAAAATACCATACCAAATAGAGAACTGACATTTGCCAGTTCATACCATTGTCAGTATCTTTTTAGTGTACTACTTTCCCTTCCTGTAGTATGACCCTGTAGAGACTAGTTTTGTTGTTGTTTTTTCTTTAAAAAACAACAACAGCAACAACAACAACAACAACAAAAACTAGCACCAGCAGGAATTAATACTGAGGCTTAAGAGGAACCTGGAAGAAACGTAAATCAATCTGTTAGCAATGACTTGAAAAATTATATGATTAAAGTAGTATTAATAATGGTTGAATTCTCTGGACAAGTGAGTTAACTCAGTGACATCATATTCTAGGCCTTTGACAATGACAATATATCTCTCCCACCATTGTGCTTCCAAAGCAACTACTTACATACCACTGATGTGCTTTTTTCATAATCTGTTTTATTCTCTCCCACTTTTGGGTTCTGATTCTTTCCCCCTCTAAATTATGAACTTTGCCTTATTCATTTTTGTGATGAATATTGAGTCTGTTCCAATGTTGCAGCAATCACAACAACCAGGTATATCCTGGTTTTTTGTCCCAATCCTTTATTTAACTAGCAAGTTGTCATTGGAGGAATCTCTTCATGGCTTTGTGCCATATATTTTCTTCACTTGTAAGATGAGGTTGTTGGACTAGATGATCTAAATTATTTTTATCAGCTCTGCATTCTACTATTTAAATTCTTCAAAATAAATGTTTTGGGAGCTACTGGTATTTTACCATATGTTAACTAACAGCACTTTGTCTGTATTCATATATGCTACTATCCTTTCTTCTCTCAATTTAATAAGAAATTTTAGCTAACAATAGAGAGGGAAATATCACTTTTAAAAGTACAGTTCAGAAAACATTTATTTAAAAAAACAACCTGAGACTCTGAAGAAGACATAGAGAAAATCTCAGCTAAGATCTTGTAGCTCCAGATGAGGAAACTGTGAACTAAAAGGGGAAAAGTGAAGTGTCAGAGATTATAACATCTGAAGTTTCCAGAGCCTGGAGAAAACTCAGAAGACCCATGGCTCTGTCTACTGCTTGTTCACTATCCTATATTTTGTGGCATATGTATGTAGGCAGCAGGTTTTCCAAAGGATTTTGGAAGCAAGCAGTAACTTATCAAGAAGTGTTCTTTTAGTATACATTAAATTGATTACTCCTTGAAGTAAACTAAACTCTTTATTTCCCTAATATTGCTTCTCATCAGTTCCCTTGTCTGTTTTTGTTGAGAGATGTGGTTAGTATTACAGCTGCCTGAATGCCAACCATACAGCTTCCAGGAGAGGACTGGAAGCAACCTCTTTGAATATAGTCTAATTCTCTTTTCTCTGGAATCAGACTTTTGTGTTAAAAGCATGAACAGGTTCAAAAGAACTTGGAGGAAGATGGCAGAGGGGATGTTGTGCTCTCCTCTTTCAGGGAGTTGTGTGTGGCTCTGATTCCTTTATTCCAAGATTTAGAAGATTTAGAAGGCACATTTGGTCATGTGAGCTTGGAAATTATAAGAAAAATGTCTTTCAGTTTTAAAAAAGTAATATTTCCTTAACTTTACCATTTACTTAGCTTTCTGGGAGTGTTAGGCAACTCCCTAGGTATTTTAAACATATTATTTCTTTTAAGGATTATAGCAGTCTTATTGTTAGGGGGCATTTATACCCCATGGTAGCAGAGAATTGAAATAAATCCACATATCTCTATTTTGGGGAAAATGGTTAAGAAATATGTGGTAGACACATTCTATGGGAGAAAAGAAAATGAACTAGACACATTCATGGCACCAGGAAAACAAAATGTGAGTAAAACAAAAAAAAGATAGACAGATATAATGAGATTTAGAGCACAGTACCACTTACATGAAATAAACATGATAATTACAAACACTACATCCAAAAATATACATATATTGAAAGACAAATAGGCCCAGTACAGGGGTGCACACCTGTAATCCCAGCATTTTGGGAGGTCGAGGCAAAAGGATTGCTTGAGCCCAGGATTTTGAGACCAGCCTAGACAGCACAGCAAGATGTCTCTCTACAAAAAAAATTAAAAAAAATAAAAATTATCCAGGCATGGTTGCACATACCTGTGGTCCCAGCTACTCATGATGGTAAAGCAGAAGGATTTCCTGATCCTGCCATCTAACCAGGGTAACAGAACCCCACTCAAAAGGTAACAGAACCCCACTCAAAAGGTAACAGAACCCCACTCAAAAAAAAAAAGACAAATATAAAACTCATTAGAATCCATGCCTATAAGAAAGTGGTTGGGTGGGGAGTAGAATTAGAAGTAACAAAGTAACAAATAATAATAAAGAATGAGGCCTTGTACAGAATGATAATGATAGTTTCCAATAAACAGAGGAATATATTGAATCCAATTCTCTGCAAGTTCAAAAAGCATTTTAAATACCATGGATTGTAATTAGAATAATAGACATGAAAAATATGTGAGGTGCAGCTAAAATTGTACATAGAAGAATAGTTTTAGCTTTAAATTTTATTGTAGAAAATAACTCTTAAAATCAAGGATGTCTAGTTCGAGAAGTTAGAAAATGAACAACAAAATAAATAAAAATAATAACAAAAGGAATAAAATAGGCAGCAGAAGCTAATGACAGTACAATGAAATACTGGAGAAGCTAAATAGAGCCAAAAACTGGTTCTTAGATAAGACTAATTGACATAGATTTTTCCATTCTGTGGTCCAAGAAAATTTTAAAAAGAAAAAAGGCACAAATAAGCAATAATAGAAATAAAGGTGGAATATAAGTAAAGATTCAGGAGATTTTAAAAAATAATTAGATAATAATTTGAAAACATTCTGCATTTCTTCCACTTCAGCCTCAGTCCTTCTTTCTTTGCTGTTGCTGCTATGAGACGGCAGTTTCCGATAAAGTGTCAGCACACAGGCTTCACTGTGGCCTCTGTTGTATGGAGAACTTGGGTTAAAGAGTAAAATCAAATCTTGGAAGGATATACTTGTCGATTCAACTGTTTATGATTTGAGTATTTAAGTCTTCTGAAGTATAAAGAATGAAATATTTAGAATTATCAAGGTTGGATGACAAGCATACAGGTGTTGATCACATTGTTTTTTTGTAGGACGTAAAAAAAATAGGTGTATTCTTTAAATGAGATTTCTTTACTAGGAATGTTTCTTTTTAAATTGATTATGCATTAGATGATTCCTTCCTTGTGTTTATGTTGTCTGAAATTTTCTTTCTTTATATAGACACAAATAAATTAAATTACATTATCTTAGACCCCACATACTTATTCCTCTGAATAAGTTCTTTTTTTCCCCTGAGTCAGATGTTTTTTAGGTTACTCAATATTTGGAAAAAAGCTCTATTGTATCTTGTGGAGGTATCATGCAAGATGACTTCTTTCCCTCCCTTCTTGTTTTCCTTCTTTGCTCCCTTCTTTCTTCCTTCCTTCTTTCTTTCTTTTTTTTTTTCAGTCAAAATCATATACAGGATCCCAATACTTAATTGCTAAAGTACATCTGCAGAGCTCAAAGATCGCTCAGAACACAGTTGAAAACATAAACCTAGAGGCACCCTGAAGGACTGGATCTGGTAATTCATAAAAAATGACCTGGTCATGACACAATGCCAAGCCACAAGCCAGACATTAGGAACATTAGGTTTTGGATGCATTTTCCAACAGCAACCACCCTGAGAAAATAAATACATATCTGAACCAGTGATAAGAACCTCCCAAGACTCCAATAAGAACTGTAATGCATTCCTTAGTTAACTAACCATTATTAAAATTTCCTTTTTTAGAGAATAGGAATCACCTCATATCCTATAAGAGTCATCAATTTTACTTTTCCATAGACAACTTAATTGCTTCTTTGACATACACTATAAATAGATAGTGGTTAGCTTTCTCACTTTAAAATCTTGAAAATATTCAAAGACTACAGTTGTTGCTTTTCCTTTTAAGATTTATGGTTTATTTATTGAGTGCCTACCTTGTACCATTGTCTTTACCTATGATACATGCTTAGCCTTAAAATAGCCCTTTTAGATTAACTAGCCCATTGATTAGTCCATTCAGAAATGAAGGAAGTATGAATGACACAGTGAAGTCAAGTAACTTTTTCAAGGACACATAGAGAAGAAAGAGTTAGGATTTGAACTCATGTCTTTTGACACCAAGTTTTATACCGCCTTTACTATGACTCTCTCCTTCATGAATTAAACATTTTCTGCTCCCAACAAAAATTAAGAAAAAGTGATTCAAATTTTAAAAGAAAATGTTAATAATGCTAGATTATTATGGCTGAATTATGGGTGGAGATCTAAATTCAGTTCTGATTGAATCTTTATTATCATTTTCTTACCTTAAAGGACTGTGATAGTTACTTGAAATTGAAAACATGTTGGGTGATATTATGAAATTCACAATCACTGTTTCTACATGTAGTATTGTATAGATTTATGTAAGTAAAGTTTGGGAGATTTTTGTGTGTACGTGACATGTGAGAGCTGCCAAGTAATTCTGACCTATTGCTCAACTTCCTATGTGTGATGACAAGGTGTTAGATATAGCATGAACACATACCATCTCATATCTTATTTGCTATGAGCTTTAAGTGGGAAACTTCTTATGAAAATAATTATTTCTAGACTTGCCAGAATAACTGGTATTGAAAATAACTCTCCCACTATAAAAACTCTAAACCTGGGGGGAAAATATGTGGCAACTGTTTTCAGATAGTGTAGAGCCATGATTGTTGAAAGAAGAGCCACACACAAGTTGAGCTCCATATTTTCTCTAGTTTTCTGCCTAAGAGTCCTCTCCAGACCAGAGTTTAGGGTGGTAGAAGCCAATCGAAGAGTGGTGGTTTCACTGAACTGAATTGGCAGAAATTGAGTTTAGTCCAGCTGAAATAGCATAGTATCTCAAAAAGGGGGACTTTGAAGAGGGAAATCCTAGACGTTTATGTGGATTTTTTTCCCCACAGGCTCTTTGCTGAGAATTGAGCTGTGCATGCATGCAAGCCTACATAAAGCTCAGCAGGAAGTTGCTGATAATGGGCAGAGACCTGAAAAGAAATACCAGTGATGATATAGTGCTGGGAAAAATAGAATATTTACTTCAATGCAGTCAGAGTGAGGAAATGTTTTACACCTTGACTGGAATGTTGTTTACATGAGTGTACACATTGTTAAAGACTCATTAAACTGTATAATTATGATCAGTGCATTTTACTGTTTTACATATTATCTCAGTTAAGATAAAATCATAGGGGTTTATGTCCACTTAAAAGTTTTGAGAGTATGAATACTTAGGAAAACATCTTCATTAACATGACTCTAACATCATCAATCCCAGAGAAACTTAAACAGCTGTCTTTTGCTAAGCATCACCGGGGACAACAGCTGTTTTAAAGTAAAACAGCTGATGCTTTTCCAGTCACCTGACTACTCATTTCGTTGCCTTTTCTCAGTTTAGTCACACATGAATGAGTCTCAATAACAACATATTTTTTTTCTTATTTCCATTAGATTTTTCATGATATATAGCTTAATTGAGTAAGGCAACCATTATTATGTGATCATTGTGATCTCAACTTGCTTTATTGTTTAATGTATTTGTATACTGAGAACATCTTTTCAAGTCAAGACATATAGATCAATTTTATTGTCTTTATTGGGTGCAGAGTATGCCATTGTTTGGCTATTACAAAATTTATTTAATTCTTTCCTAAATGATGGTCATTTATTTTAATTTGTTGTCATACTTTTTTGATGTATAACTAGTTTTGCAATCCACATCATATTTGGCTTTATGAATTTATACTTTTGTGTCTATAACATAGTTTCCACATATATTTGCAACATTTTACATACTTTCCAAATTCTCAACAATACTTAAACTCCCTACAGGCTGATATATGACTGTTAGACATCTGTTGAATCTCTAAAGCCTAGCACAATACTTGGTGTATACAGTAGGTTCTCATTAAGTATTTGCTGAATGAGTCAATAGATGAATAACTATGTATTTATGTATTTTCTTGTCATAAGGCTTAATTAGTAGTTGATTAGTTGATAGTCCAGTACATTTCAAAAGTCAAATATGATAATTCTTTAGGAAAAGTATGCCAGGTGCATAAATAATTACTGGAAGGACAACATCAAATCAAAATGATGCCATTCACACAACAAAAAGTGGGAGAATGACATAACCATCACAGGTTTAATAGAGAAACCTTAGTAAAAACAATTACATTGAAACAATACCTAAATTTAGACTTTATTAGTAGGTGATTTAATTGAATTCCAATCATGTTAAAGCTGGGGGATATTTATTTCAGTTCAGTTCAGTCTTAAAAGGAAGTGTTGAATTCTTGAACAACAGGATAGCTTGTGCAAAGAAGGACAAGTTTCTTTGTTATGGGTAGCTCTACCAGAAGTGACAAGGGAGAAAATAACTCCTAAAATGTGGAAAAGGGTCATATCTAGGAGGTGTCTGATTTAAGGAACCTTCAGTAGATGTGCTTGCGTTGTTGTGAACGCGTTTGACTTTTGCTGAAATTTTACAATACTGAGGAGTAAGCACATGAGTGTGTGTATGTGCACGTCCCTGTTCCTGCTCTATCAATAGCACAAGCAAAAGAAGTATAAGTTCTCATTTAATACTCATTTAATTAAGCAATCAATAAGTTGGAGATGGGGGAAGGGAGAAAGCCACAAATGCTGTCATTGAAGTTTCTGGAAGAGATAAGACAGTAGAGACTCCATGCTCCTTTCTACTTTGAGAATCTCCAAAAAACTCAGATCACTGAACAGGGACAACTAGCTGACTCTAAAGATTTAAGATTCAGCATCGGAATTTACTGAATGCCAGCCAAAGCTATTTACTCTCAAATTTTAATTGGTTAAGTCTTATGACTTAAGATTGCAAATTTGAATCATATGATATATTCCAATATATAGCTTTGTATTCAATACATTTTTTAAACAAT